AGAGAGACACAGCGAGAGAGGGAACACAAGTGGGGGAGTGGGAGAGGGAGAAGCAGGCCTCCCGCGGAGCAGGGAGCCCCACTCCGGCTCCATCCCAGGACTCTGGGATCATAACCTGAGCCAAAGTCAGACGCTCAACGACTGAGCCACCCAGGCGCCCCTACTTCCATGTTTTTCTTTAGATTTTATTAAGTAATCTCTACACTCAACTTGGGACTTAAATTTACAACCCCAAGATCAAGAGTCCCACAGTCCATACTTCTATTTTTTGAATAAAATGTATTCAGCTTCATACTATCTTAATACCCTGTTGCAAAAACTTTGCTATGTTTGGAACCATTGATTTCTTACTGGACTTGAGAGACACTGTACTTGCGTTTTTCTCTTAGAACATTGTTTCTTCATCTCGTTTGTTTTCTCCCTCCTTCTGTGGAATTCTGCCAAAAGCTTCATTCTTTTCCTTCCTCCCAAGCCAAACTGTGGTCCTATACCTCCAGCTATCTATACATCACCTAAAATGCAAACAAAACTTCTCTGTTCCCAGAATGACATTCTTGACTTTTCCCATTTCTGTTAACACCATTCTTGCAATTCCATTGTTTCCAACCTTAAGAATTAATCTGGCATTTTTCTTTCTCCCATGCCTGACATTCATCAATCATTGCTTCTTCCACCACATCATCTTATTTGTTACAGTGGCCTTCCAGGTGCCCCAGTTTCACCATACTCAGAGCTCTGCAACACTGCTTTCATCATATTCCCCTGCCCAGGGACTTCAGTGCCGCATCTGATCACACACATGCTCCTCTGGTCAACACACTCTGCCTGAATCACCCATTTTTAAAAATCCTTAATTCTTTCCAGCAAGATACCCCCAATCTATTCAGGCTGAGTATCTCCACATGACAGCTTAATTCCTTCTCTCATGCAGCTCCTTCACCTTACAACCAAATAGCTAATGCCACCCTATACTGATCTTTTCAGCGACAAATTCTTAGATCTTAACCAAAATTGCTTTTATGTGACTAAAAAGCTAATGTGGGGACATCTGACACACAAGAACTTATTGTCCCCTTCCAAGTTGCTGACTTGTTCCAAATTGTTAAGAGGTCTGGATCTATGTAGTTTATCCAGTAATCATTAGAGGACTTCAGCTGAAATGATCTCAACCTACACTTATCTCAGGAATGTGGTCATTGCGCAAAAACATTTCTGGGAACTCCTTCACGGCTAGTTTATGAGCCACATTTAAATGATTCATTACTCGTCAACTGTACTCAAAACACACACACCATAATCCTACTATCATACCAAAAAAAAAAAAATTCCTTCAAAATTACTTTTAAAAAAGCTGAGGCATTTGCCAACTTTATCATTCATCTATTTTTTAGATTTTGTTCCAGATTACTTCTGGAATTCCCCAAAGTCCCATTCTTAGCCTTCCTCCTATCCTTTTAGTGTTTGCATTCATTCCTAGAATTTCTTGATCACCTTTGGGCAGATAACTCCCAAAGCCACATCTTTAACCCTAACTTCTTGCTCTTAAGCTCCATATCCACGTTTCCATTTACCGGTTAATACCTTTATGTGGAAGCATTTTAACCCCAAAGTTCCCCACATGAGCTCATTACTTCACCCCTGAAACCTGCTCATCCTCTCCTCCTCCCTATTCAGGTTAGTAATGACCCTATCTTTCATTCTCACGGACAAGAAATCTTAGTCTTTATCTGTGATTCCTCTTTGGTTATGTGCCTCTTGTTAGGTGCAGTGGTTAGGAACTCAGGCTCTGAAATGACTTTCTGGGTTCAAATCCCAGTTCTGATATTACCCATGTTAATTTTGTTGTCTATTTCCCCACATAGAAAATGGAGATGGCAATAGCGCCTTTTAATAAAGTTGTTGGGAAGTCGAAATGTTTGATACTTACAATAATGCCTGACTCAACAGTAAATGCTCAACCCCCTTTCCTCACTGCCAGTATCTGAACCTGTTCAGAACTCAGTTCAGTGATTCTTCTGAGAAGCATCTCACCATTGGTAGTAGGTAACTGACCCCTTTCCTCCTCATTGTCCCATCGTACTGAATCTTTATTAGCAATGTATTGTTCTGTATTTCCCATTCCTTACTTAAGTGCATGTCACCTACTAAACTACAAATTCCTTTAAGGACTTGTTTCTCAAGTATTTGTGTATCTTAAATGCCTAACACCACACGTGACACAGGACATGTAAGCTAGAAATGTTGGCTGAGTGAATCTAGTCAGTTACTAAGGCCGGTCAGTTTTCTTCCCTGATGTCTCTTGTTCTTTCCTACTCTTTCAAGCTCTAAACCTCTTGCATGAATTACAGCAAAGCTTATTTAATATTGCCACCAGAATCATGAGCTGGAAGTTACTCTTGTCAAAAACTTACCTGTAAAATTAAAGTCAAAATACCCTGCCATGTAGTCAAAGCCTCCCAGAATTGGCCCCAAAATAATTTTCTGGTCTTATCTTTCATTATTTCCTTCGACAAACTCAGTGCTCCAGATGACACTAGTCTCTTCTTTCTTCAACATATCCTTCACCTCCACGTGTTTTTATTCATGCTAGGATCTAAACCCAAAGCAGAGGTTGCAAACCAATGGACCCTAGATTTTCGGGGGGGCCACAAGTGTTTTTTTTAATTGAGCCAACACTTAAAATTTGTGATACTTGGCATAAGCACTAGGATGGCCGATGGTTCTTGGAAAGTAAGATTTGGCAATGTGGGGCCTCCGTTCTAGTGTGGCAGCAACTGAGCTGAGCTGCACTGCCGGCTGTCCCCTTCTCCCAGGACACGCAGCCAGCTTTTAAAAACCCTCTCATCGAGTCCTGCATCGGGCTCCCTGCTCGGCCGGAAGCCTGCTTCTCCCTCTCCCACCCCCCCTGCTTGTGTTCCTGCTCTCGCTGTCTCTCTCTGTCAAATAAATAAAATCTTAAAAAAAAAAAATAAAAACCCTCTCAACAATCCCAAGTGTAAATGAAGAAACCAGGCTAACGGTGGGACAACTGGACCTATCTCCTGATGTTACACAACATAAAGAACATCTCTCCTATGATGTCTTCTATCCCCAGAACTGCTTAACTTGAATCTCTCAGGCTCTAGATCTAATTGTTTAGTAAAAATAGGGGTAAAGGAAGTTAAGGGGCACTGTGAAGAAGCAATTAATCAAATCCAAAAGACCACTCTCCAGGACAACTGGCCCAATCTCTTCAACAGATCACCGTTACAAAAAAGGTTGTTCCAGGAATCTAGATTAAGAGTATAAATGGGGCGCCTGGGTGGCTCAGTCAGTTAAGCATCGGAATATTGATTTCGGCTCAGGTTATGATCTCAGGGTCCTGAGATGGAGCCCCACATCAGGCTCCACGCTCAGCGCAGAGTCTGCTTGGGATTCTCCTTCTCCCTCTGCCCCTCCCCCGCAACTTGCGCATACTTTCTCTCAATAAGTAAAATCTTTTTAAAAAAGTATAAAAGTAGGGCACCTGGGTGACTCAGTTGGTTAAGTGTCTGCCTTTGGCTCAGGTCATGATCCCAGGGTCCTGGGATCAAGTCCCGTATCAGGCTGCCTGCTCAATGGGGAGCCTGCTTCTCCCTCTCCTCCCCACTTGTGTGCTCTCTTGCTATCTCTCTCTCTCAAATAAATAAAATCTTTTAAAAAGTATAAAAGATAGTTAAGACACATAACCTAGTGTAATGCATGCTTCCTGGATTGGATCCAGGACTGGACAAAAATTAACTCTAAAAGTACTTTTCTTGGGTGCCTGGGTGGCTCAGTCGGTTAAGGGTCTGCCTTTGGCTCAGGTCGTGATCTCAGGGTCCTGGGATCGAGCCCCATGTCGGGCTCCCTACTCAGCAGAGAGCCTGCTTCTCCTTCTCTCTGCCCCTCCCCCTGCTTGTGTGCTCTCTCTCTCAAATAAATAAAAGTACTTTTCTTGAGACAACTGGAGAAATGTGAATATAGATTAATTTTAAGCATTTGTTATGGCAGCAATATAGAAAAGTGTTCTGATTCTTCAAATTATGAAGAATCGAAACCAACCTTCATGCTTCCCCCGCCCATTCTCCTGACCTTAAAAGTCTAGAATGGGTTGGCAAACTTTCTACAGAGCCAAGTAGCAAACATTTTAGGCTTTGTGGGTCATAGTTCTGTGGAACGACTCCACTCTGCTGCTGTAATCTAAAAGCAGCCACAGACAATACATAAGCAAACAGGCATGGCTGTGTTCCAGTAAAACATTTTTACAAAAGCAGGCAGCAGGATGCCAACCTCTGATCCAGAACAAATACCATGTCTCCGAAACAAGTCCTTCCTGGTACCCATCAGAGTCAGTGCCTTTATCTTCCCTCTGCTCACGTATTGCTTGTAGAGCTACTTACCACATTTATTACGTCTTACTCTAGTATATATTTATCTCCCTTCTGGAGTAAGTTCTTTCAAAGTGGGTGCTGCCGTGCTGCATGACACCCATCCCCACCTGAGTTCCTTGCAGAATACAGCCAATGAATAGTGTTCCCCAAGACCAAATCTACCCCAAAAGAAAGACTGGCACCATTTGTGACATTCAAAAGAACGGAAAGCAGGTTCTGAAAGTAATTTTGAAGGCGCTTCAGGGAAAAAAAGAGCACTCCTGGTATCCCTAGGTACTATATATGTACTAGATACTATACCTGTTACCTCTGCTGCTCTACAGTGTCATGTGTTCACCAGTATCTTAGAATCAGAGCTTGAGTGCATGCAAGTGTAAAAGACTCAGTGGGCCCGGGGATGTCCTTATGCCCTTTTGCTTTTTAGCCCCACTAGAGTATCTAGAGTGCTAATGGATTTACACTAAGTGCATCATAAACACTCAACAAATTTAAAAGACACTACTGGGGGAAAATATTTCCTTTTTCTCATGACCGAAGAGTAGGTGGCAGCAAATGCCTAGGTAAGGCTTTATCGAGATTTGACAACCAGAGCAGTGAAGTCATCCCACGCTCCTTCCCCGTGTTTACTTTCTTGGTTAGGACACACTGGGCGATGGAATCCCAGATTCCGAAACAAAGGTGCCTGTGGGACAAGGGAGAAGGGTGCATGCATACCTTCTGTAGAAACGGTCCTAAAACTCCAGGAGCACTTAGGGAAGACATGGAATTTGGGGCAAAGGCAAACTCTGGAAAGAGCACAGTTCAGATCACTGGCGAGAACATGTCGGCTGCTACAGACCAAGAGACAGGAGGGAAGGTGGTAGGAGGGCACAAAGGGCAAAAAAGTGAGGTGCACACTCCCAGACATTGTGCTAAAACAGAGGTTAGTTCTAAGACAAGGGTAGGTTATAAAGCAAAATAAGGGGAATCAGGGTGAGAGAAAGGCCAAAGCAGAGGAGAAAGCTTCACAAGAAAGGGAGTGATGTTGGATTAAGAACTGAGAGTTGAGTAAAAGGTTTATTATTAGTGCAGTCAACACCATGGAACAGCACATATAACACAACCAGCAACCCGCAGAGACACTAGTGCAAAGGGGAGGGAAGCCTTAACTGAGCTTCCTGGCTCCGTCTGAGGGTAACGACAGGAGGGTATGGGCCTTGGTAAGGCAGGCAGGGGCAGAGGGGAGTGGAAGAAATGTAGTAACCAGACTAAGTATAGCAGCGTTTTCAAATTCCTGAGCACAATGTCCTGGAGCTGGAACATAGGACTGTTCCCTACTCCCTTCAAGCTGTATCCCTCCACCCCATTCCCAGTGGAGCATGACCCAACTCCCCAGACCCACAGCAAACTGGCCTGGAATAAAACTCCAAAGAGAGAAGTAGCTGTTATATGGCCATATCTCTTCAACCCCACTCACACCTGCCTTTTAAAATAATCACACCCTCTATCCCTCCCCTTCTCTTATTCTACCAGCCACCCTAAAGATCAAGGAATGCCCGGGTAGCCGAAAATGGAGCTGAAGTCCTTAGAGGGCATGCGTGAGACCAGAGCACAGCCTGTACTCAGAGACACAGAGACATCATGTCTCTCCCATCTTGCCTGGTGAAGCTTAGAATCCAAGTCTGGATCTCCAAGGAAACCGGGGGTTGGGGGGTGGAAATGTCTTCAAAATTAACACTCTATAAATACAGAGTTTTACAAGAAGACCAGTGGAAGGGCTGGGAGCAAAGTTCTCCAGAGGGCACAGGCATGGATATTGGGCTGTCGCATCCATCACTGGAATAGAGGAAGCGCCTCATCTCAGATGGGGTGATGGAGGGTTGGGGCAGACATAGGTTCAGCCGAGGACTCCCTTGGCCCTTCCTATATTAAAGCCAATGGTTGTGCTGAAAAGGAAAAATATAAAACAGATCCCCCATCCCTGTCCCACCCTATCCAGAATCCCCACAATAGGAACATCAAAAAGAAAGTTTTGAGCTTTGTTAATTTTTTTTTCTTTTTCCTTTCTTAAAAAAAAAAAAGTAAATAAATTAGATTGCCAACAATGTGGCTGGGCTGGAAAAGTGGGGTAGCCATAACCAGGCCATTCTAAAAAAAAAAAAAGTGGGAGGGGGGAAGGAAATACAAACAACAATGGCCAAAGGAAATTATCAAAATAACTAGTTACAATCACAGGGTTGGAGAGGGGTCTATGGAACTATTACGGCCCAAGCCAGAGGCAGTGCCTACCTGATATCAGCAAAAGCCAGAGAGCTGCTTCTTGCTGAGCACATCCACCCCAACAGACTAATCCCCTACCCCCAACCCTGTCATTCCCTAACTAAGAGAAAATGTTGGAAAGCAGAACTCATCTGGAAAATTCCGGCATCCCAGCCTGCACACCTGCAGAAGCAGCAGGAACCTGCACTCAGAAGGTGGGCTGGACAGGGTATTGCTTGGCACAGAGGTCCTGTCTTCCCCTAAGGGCCATCTGTTCCCCTCAGGGCCAGTTCCTGGCCTCACTGCTTATTTCTAGGGTTTTGATCCCACCCTTACCATTTCTTCAGGATGTCTGCTCCCCAGAGCTGCCCTCGCATGCTGTTTAGTGTCAACAGGCCTGCCCGCTCTGATTCCCTGGTTTTGGAGGAGGGGGAATGATCAGATAGTCCTCACTCCGCCCTGATCCTCTAGAGAAAATGAATTCTTTGTGCTTTCTAAAAATATCTAGAACCAGGGACCCTAGGCAGGAAAACAGATACAGAGGTGGGGACTTTTCCCAAACTGACTGAAAATTTACAGACATCTTAGGGGAAGAAATTAGGCAAAAGGAAGGAATCTTCCCACCTGAAAGGCTGAGCAAAGTGCCCTGGGCCCTTCAGTGCCAGAAGTGTAGGGAAACGTGCGGCCCACGTGTAGGCCACGGTACTGTGGATAGTAGGGAGGCCTCAGAAGCCAGCTGCTGGAGTGATGGGTTTTCTGGTCGCCATCTCTTCCTGCTAGCCCGTCGAGAGCTCCTATATCTCTTCCACGCCATGCGCAAAGATCATGACAAGCCCCGGCTCCTGCACCATGTCATCGCCCATGTGCTGGTTCTCACAGGCCATCACGACCACAGCCTGCTTGCCCGGGATGCGCTTGGCCACGTAGTTCTCATAGTAGCGCCGGTTCATCTGTCTTGTCTCTAGGGTGGCCAGACCCTGGGGCCAGCTCCGCTCGTGGGCATTTTCAATCAGCTCGTTGACGATAGAGGCAGGACAGCCACTCTCCACCAGGGAGCGCTTGATTACAGCCTGGAGTACAGCATCTGGGGTCGAGATCATCCCTCCCCAGCGGGTCACTCTTGCGGGCTGCAGGGAGTTCACCCACCTGTGTGGAGGGCGTGGGAGACGGTCACTCCAGCTCATCCCCCTTCTCTGCACTGGCTTTTTCTCCTAATAGGAATGACCACCTGCTCTGTGCTCAGCTCAACCCTGATCTTCCATCTTCCTTTTTCCATCACTGGTTCAGAAATTCCAAATCTCCCCCTACTTGGTCCCCTGGGAGTCACTACATGTCACTCACTCACCAGATTAAACTCTACAAGTGAAGAGTTTCCGTCATTTTTCTTAAAATCCCAATACTTAGGGGCACCTGGGTGGCTCAGTCGTTAAGCGTCTGCCTTCAGCTCAGGTCATGATCCCAGGGTCCTGGGATCGAGTCCCACATCGGCTCCCTGCTCCACGGGAAGCCTGCTTCTCTCTCTCCCACTCCCCTGCTTGTGTTCCCTCTCTCGCTGTGTCTCTCTGTCAAAAAAACAAAAAAAAAATCCCAATACTGAGCACATACAGTGCCTGGCACATACTAAGTGCTCAATAAATGTGTATTGGGGGCGCCTGGGTGGCTCAGTCGTTAAGCGTCTGACTTCGGCTCAGGTCATGATCCCAGAGTCCTGGGATCGAGCCCTGCATCAGGCTCCCTGCTCGCCGGGAAGCCTGCTTCTCCCTCTCCCACTTCCCCTGCTTGTGTTCCTGTTCTCGCTGTCTCTCTGTCAAATAAATAAATAAAACCTTTAAAAAAAAAACAAACAGGGGCGCCTGGGTGGCTCACTCGGTTAGGGGGCTGCCTTTGGCTCAGATCATGATCCCAGAGTCTTGGGATCGAGCCCTGCATCGGGCTCTCTGCTCAGTGGGGAGCCTGCTTCTCCCTCTCCCACTCCCCCTGCTTTTCCCTCACTCGCTGTCTCTCTGTCAAATAAATAAATAAAATCTTAAAACAAACAAACAAACAAATAATCGTGTATTGAATGGAGCAATGGTTCCTCTACACTGTGCCCCACACAGCACTGTTGGCATGACATATACTGATTCACACTTAGAATCTGGTCTGTGAATTGTACAGGACTCCAGCACTGAAAGGGATTTTCAACTTTGCTTGTTTATGCTTGTTTATGCTGCACTTTAGATCACTCTCATGGATTTGCACTCTCTTCTCTGGACTGTAAGCTACCTGACGACAGGGGCAATATCTCTTCCTTCGTGGCCCTCCTAGCACTCCACAGCCTTTAATACAGGGCTCTGTCTATGTGGGCACTCACTTAAGTCTGGATGAACTGCGTCCCTGTGTAAGCTTTCCCCTCCATCCACCCCAAAGAATAAGAGATCCTATAGTGGGGCTGAAAGTTATCCTCTTCTCTGTCCCTGTCCATCCCAACATCTGAAAAGCGGTGGCCCCAGCCCAGCCCTCTTATTACCCTCCTTCTGCCACTCCCCTGCTCCTCCTCCTCTCAGGGCTCAGTGCCAGGACGTGGGGCAAGTGACTCCACGTCCCGAGTGACACTCACTCTAGGATCTCGTTGTATTCAATAGTCTCCTCCAGGTTCTGAAGGTTGGGGTTGACACTGCGGATTGCACGCATGTATGCCTTTAGCAGCTGGATATCTCGCTTCTGTGGGCGTGAAGAAGAATCACAGATGATGATTAGGGCAGACAACAAATGAAAGACAAAAGTTTGTCTTAGAATGAGGGCAACTGAGGCATCTGAGGAACACCCAGACCTGTAAGCTCCACAAAGATGGGGATGTGACTGTCTCATTCGCAGCTATATCCCTAGTGCTTAGCAGAGTACCCCCTTAGAGGAGGCAGTTAATAAATGTTAGGTGAACGAATGACATTGATGCGATGAAGGAAAGGGAGAAGAGCTCCAATCTGATTCCCTACCAAAGCCACAGGCAGAGTATCTACTCACCCAGCCGTGTGCACGCGCAGGACTGTGCGCGTGCGTGCGCGCGCGCGCACACACCCCCCCCCACCCCTGCATGCTCACATTGGTGCTCCTCGCCCCCAGTTATCCGCATATATACACAGCGTATACACACACACACACACACACACACGTGTGTAGTCACACACAGTTACATATCTGTTCTACGCCCTTATCCGCACATTAGGGACAGGTTCTCTCCCGCGTTCGCCGGGGCCTACCTGCTCCGCCAGCTGGTGTTTGTGCTCAGCGGAGGTCTTCTCCAGCTCTGCGATGCGGGTCTGCTGCTGCTGCACCACGGAGCGCAGGTGCTTAATGCAGTTGTGGTTTGGCAGCTCATCTTTGGGCATCTCCAGGCTGCCACCCAGGGTGGGGAAAAAAGCAGAACAGAAGCATTCAATGGGACATGTGGGCAAAGGCAGAAAATTGCTGAGACGGCCTTCTCCTAGCCCAGATTTCGAATATTCGGGCCTCCCTCTTATTTATTCCCTTCACTTCCTTCCCCCTAGCTACCCCCTTCCCCCTGTACTCCTTTGCTCTCTACTTTCTCTGGGCCTCCTTCCCTTTCTAAGACAGTGTTTTATCTACCACCACATGAGTCTCCTTTCCTCCTACAGATTCTGCCTGTGCACTCATTCCTTCGGAGAAGCCCTAGATTCACAGCCCTAGCGAGCAGTATTTAATCAAATACTTCACACCCCAAAGAAAGAAAAAAAAAAACAGGGCAAGAGGAAATATGAGAAGCTTAGAAATCAGACCAGTTAATCTGATAAAGAGAAAGGAGTACCGGGCTGACAGGGAAGAATAAAGGAAACCAGTCCGTAGTATTAGCACACAGACTGGGAATTGTTGCCTCCTCTCTTTTATTAAAGCAAGAGCAAAAAGCATCATGGAAGTGCGGTCTCGGGACAGGGAGACAGGGAGGCCAAGGACACTCCTGCGTACATTCCAAGGAGACCTCCTGAGCTGGTAAGCAGGGGATCCGGAGACACAGGAGTGGGGATGGGGAGTGTGGGCAGCGTGTGGGGTGGGTCACAAACTGGAAGGCCCTCATCTGTGCGGGGCAGAGGAAGGGAAGCAATCTCACCCGCAGCCCTGCTCACAGGTCACAGGCCGTTTGGGGTTGTGTTCGCAGTCGCTGAGGTGAGACATGAGGTTGTCAAGCCGGACAACAGCACTACAGCCAAACACAGCGTTGTCGCAGGCGATCTGCAGCTTTGACAACATGTTCCGCATGATCCGAGGTACTGGGCGCAGGTGAGCGACCGTCACAACGCTACGGTCCACCGGACACGTCTGCTGCTGAGAGAACCACTGGGTGATGCAGGCGTTGCAGAAAGCATGCTCACAATGAGGTGCCTAGAAGGAAAAGCAGGGCAAAGGGGGCACAAGAGAATTAGCAGGAGCTAAGAGCCTGAATATGATAACTCCGCAAAGCCACTCAAGCCTCCGAGCAGCTTCCAGGACCAGAGGTCCCTGGGGTCACAGCTAAGTACAGATGCGCCACGGGCGAGGCATGGTGCAGGGACAGGCTTCAGATGGATTTCCTGTGCTCAGGATTCCAAATGGATTGTGACATAAGACAAACAAGTAAAAAGTTACATAACAGGGGCGCCTGGGTGGCTCAGTTGTTAAGCGTCTGCCTCCGGCTCAGGTCATGATCTCAGTGTCCCGGGATCGAGTCCCACATCGGCTCCCTGCTCCACGGGAAGCCTGCTTCTCCCTCTCCCACTCCCCCTGCTTGTGTTCCCTCTCTCGCTGTGTCTCTCTCTGTCAAATAAATAAATAAATAAATAACCTTAAAAAAAAAAGTTACGTAACAGTAAGAGGTATAAATAATATTCCAGGACAATAGGAGAGATGACATAAGACAGCTGATTATTAATTGCCAACTGGACTGCATACACAATAAATGCCAAAGTCCAGAGGAGGACGAGATCTTTCTAGGCTAGGTCAGTCAGGGCAGGTATTTATGGAGAGGACAGAATTTGATACGGGTCTTGAAGGATGAGTAGAGAGGACACAGGGAAGGGATTTACTGGCAAAAATGCAATGTAGGAAAGCAAAGCAAAACAAAACAAAAGCCTGGAACTCCTGGTGAGAGGATGAGTACTCTCTGTAGGGGCCCAAGTTCCTATCTTATGAGGGTTGACCTGAGGCATTGCCTGCATCCTAATGGCAAGGCCTATCCTCCAAAACAGAGCCAATTCCTCATAGAATCACATTCTTTTCAGTTTCATAAAGATCCTATTTCAGCTTCCTTCCCTGATAACTCAGATAATCTCTGAAGTGAATCCCTCAAAGTGAGAGGATTCCTGGGCTTCCGTGGAGACACCATCTGGCTTCTGGCATGGGACAAACAGTATACACTTAGTAGTTGATGAATAAATGGCATGCCATGTCCCAAACACTCTACTAGGTGCTTAAGATACAAAAACAGGTTCTGTCTTCAAGATGCTCACAGATACCAAAGACTGGAAACACAGAAAGGCCTCGTAAAGGAAGAAGTCATTTTCAGGGCGCCTGGGTGGCTCAGTTGGTTAAGTGTCTGCCTTCGGCTCAGGTCATGATCCCAGAGTCCAGGGATCGAGCCCCATGTAGGGCTCTCTGCTCAGCGAGGAGCCTGCTTCTCCCTCTCCCTCTGCCTGCCGCCCTTCCTTGCGCACTCTCTCTCTCTCCGTCAAATAAATAAATAAAATCTTAAAAAAAAAAAAAAGTCATTCTCAATGTCACTAATTCAACTGTCAGTAGATTTTTATTTTTCACTCAAAGACATATTTGAGTCTTTTCAAAATCTTTACAGATCTATCTCAAAAAAAAAAAAAAAGCCTAAATTTGTCCACTTTTCCCCATCTGTCCTGCCATGAACCCAGGTCAAGCTATCATCTCTCACCTACATTATTTAGTACGTCTTCCAGCTGGCCTCCCTACTTCTACCCCACCCCTTTATAATTCAGTCTACCTTCATCAGCCAGAGTGATCACTTCAAAATGAAAACTAGATCTTATCACTCCCCTGCCTCAAACTTTACAATGGCTTCCCACTGTACTTAAAATAAATCCAAACTCCTACTCAGGACCTATAAAATTATGCTGGATCTGGCCCTGTGCCTCTGACCTCTCCTCACCTCACACCACGCTCCCAGCACTGTGTTCAGGCTAGTCTGGCCTCCTTTCTGTTCTTTGTTTACATCCAGCTCACTCCTGCTTCGGGAGCTTCACTTTTGAGGCTTCTCTTTGCCTGAAATGCTCTTCTGCTCAATCTCAGCATGAACGTCCCCATATTACTCAGATCTCATCCCAACTGTCACCTCTCATGACCATCCCATCCAATCCTGCCACCCCTGCAAAAATATACAGAATGTGCTATGTTCTGTGTAAGAAAAGTTGGACAAATAAACTACTACAGAGAGTTAACTATGGGGGCGGGTGGGTTACATGGGCTGGGACAAGGATGGAGTAAGAGTTCTCACTGTATGCCTTTTTATACTGTTTTGATTTCTGAACCATATGAATTTATTACCTATTCAAAACTTAAATAAATATGAAGGGGGGGCGCCTGGCTGGCTCAGTCGGAGGAGTGTGCAACTCTATCTCAGGGTCGTGAGTTTGAGCCCCATATCGGGGTTAGAGATTACTTAAAAAAAAAAAAAAAAGATGTAGGGAAATCAGCATTCCTAACAGGTGCCTTCTACCCCTGGATATGTGTCTAGTAACCTGGCATCCTGAGGTCTGCCTGACCTATTCCTCAGAAGGCGGAGGTAGGGGGTGGCTCCTGACTTGGACTGTCACGAACCCACATTGACTTCTCCACACGTGACTCACCTCAAATGACAGTGCCAGGGGAAGGAAGGAACTGACACAGCCCATGGCCTCTTGACACCACCAGGAGAGCTTGCTCCACACGCAGCCAATCTGCTTCTAATGGCAGGTGGCTGCAAAGGCCTGGATAGGGGTTAGGTCCAGGGCTAGCTGCCACTGGAATGCAGTCTGATTTTCAGTCAGCTCAGGCATCTGCGCTCCTTTGGGTGGGTGAAAACTGGAGCAAGAATAAACTCAAAGGATCAAGAGGAGTCCCTGGGAGTTGTATAAGCAGTGAGTAGGGGAAGGGCCATGAGACCTCACTGACTAGTGTCCTGGTTTGGAAAATGGGATTAGGTCTAGCTAGCGAGGAGTGGCAGAGGATTAATTGGTATTTACAGAAGGTGAGCAATAAGAACCATGCAGGATGATGTCCATGAATACTGTTGCTAAGAATTCATCTGACTCATTATACTTACCTGTTAATCATGAGTTTCTCCTCATACTTGCCCCAGGAAGATACAACTGACTTTGGTCTGGCAAGGCTTGTAGAGAAATGACCTATTGAAGGTGGCAGCTTTCATATCAAAATGCAGAGTACAAGGCTGCATCAAAAATTGGTTTTTCTAATAAATCCCAGGAAGAAAAGAGGACAATACATAGAGTCCCCACTCCTTGTTTGTTAGTTAGTAAGCAGGCTGAAAAGGCCTGCAGGCAGACCAGCTGATTAAGCGAAACATTACATCATCACAGAGAGAGAACTTATCAGGAAAGTCTAGAAGTTCAATCATAGCTAGGAAGATGGAACCTAGTCAGAGCCCCTGCAGAGGAAAGGAAGTTCCTGAACACTATCAAAAGACAGAAAAAAGGTGACCATTTTACAGCAGAAAAATCTCAGCGCAACCTCAGAAGAAAATCTGAAGCACAGGACTTCTGTGGCATCCACCTCTAGACAGACTCTGGAAGGCCCTATTCCTTTTGCAGCCACCACTGCTTCTCTGCACCAAACCTCTCATCTGTATACGTGTGGCGTCAAGGCGGTGGGGGAAGGGGAGCCAGAACACAGTGCCTTATATTGTCTATTAGCTCCACTGTCGTCTATGGCCCCCACCAAAACTGCCATCAGACCAACTCACCTGGACTGGCTCCTCCAAGACTCCACTGCAAATAGGACAGATAAGGTCTTCGTCAACATCCCCCTGGAAACGGGTTACATCATACCCCATGTCTCATCACTGAAACCCAGGTCCTGGAAGGAGCAAGAGGAAAAAAAAAAAAGCCCAGTTCAAAAGAAGCCACAAATATGTGC